CAGCGGAGAAAGAAATATAAAGATCTTGTTCTTTTTCTTCAAACAAATTCAATTGTATATAGATGGTTAATTCCAGAAGCGTCACCTTTAAATTTATGGATAAAAAAGAAAAGATTGACTCTGTTCTGAAAGCAAGAGAATTTTTAAGAGTCCAGCTGGGAGGGCCAGAGGAGGAAGAAAAAGAAGGGGACAGCAAGTCCAGTGGCGAGCTGGACTCGGGTTCTTCTGGAGAGGACTCTCTGTCTGAGAAAGGGGCAGCAGCTCCTAAAAGTCCTTATAAGTTGCAGAAGAGACTGGACAAGAAGAAGTGAAGGCTGAAGGACTCTGAATTGTGCCTTTGAAAAATTTTGAATTGAGATGCTTTGGGGTATTTCCTGATATCAGTTAAATTTAAGATGTGGGAAAAGTTAACAGACTATGTGACTCAGTTTGTAATGAGATTAATATGATTAAGACTAGATGTGTATTTAAGCTGATTAGAAGATCTCCTCTCTTGGGTTTTAGTCAGTAGTGGGTATCTTTTCTTTATCCCCTTAAATGTAGTCCCCTTGCTTATTTCTGTTATAGTTTGTAGTTTTAATAAAAATGCAATTAAAAATTCCCCATCGGGGAGCAAAAAAGAAAAAGATGTTATAACTAAGAACAGTCCCTTAAATGATGTCTGCTGAAATGACTGTTTAGATGCAGTTTTGTGGATGCAACTCTCTCTCTCTTTTTTAAGTCACGGAGTAAGGCAGTAATTCAGGGGCCAATCTGAATAAAGTTTCCAAGACCAAATCACAGATCTATCAAGGTCTGTTTTGAAGTAGGTAAAGAATTATTCCTTATACTGGCTCAGTTTCCAAATATGTGTGTATGGATAGGGAAACAATGCTAAAATAAGGAGAGTTAAAAAGTTACACTTTTAATCCAAGTACCGATCAATAAAACCACCATGGATTTGTGTAGCTTTGTTCTTTTCAACAGCGGAGGAATCCTTCAAATAGCCTAAACATTGTTTACTATATGGCATATGTACATGCTTACATTGTTTGAACTTCTCCTCCAAAAAGGAGAAAAGAAAAAAGTTTTCCACTGAATGAGTTTACTTATCTGTCCTAGTCTATCATGTGATTATAAACAGAGCATGTTTATAGCATCTCCATATACCATAAACACGTAGAGAGATAAGAGTTTCCCTCCCACTAGCTGGTGTGATTAAAATATCAGCTGCTTCCACACAGCAAGGATCTCTGTTTAGCTGCTACAAATACAAACACATCTGTAGTGGCAATGGAGTATCCACTCAACAGATTCATGTTTCTGCCCCTACAGCCATTGTTTCACTGCACATCACTGGAAGATCCATTTTCTGGCTTTTAAAAATCAGCAACTGTTAGATTACTCTAGCACTGTAACATTATAAGTGGGGACACCTATGGGGGGGGAATCCCATCCTCTCCCTGCCCACTTGGCCAGCTATTCAGTGGTCATCCCACCCACCTGCAACAATACCACCTGTGCCAGTGTGGCTGATACAGGAGTGGCATTTCCTGCATCTCACCTGCTACTGCCATCCTGCAACACTAGCTGTGGAGAGGGCAGTGACGAGAGACCTCCCCCCCATTGCAATGCTATTGTCTCAGCCTGACTGGCTCACACGGCAGTGGGGGAGGGCGGCAGATCCCTCTCCTCCTTGCCCACCTGTGTGCAGTATCCCTGCCTCAGTCTGACTGACTGACACAGCAGCAACTCTCACTCCTCCCTCCCCTTCTCCTTTTAGTCCACCCACCATATCAGTGGTATGGTGGGGAGCAAGAGTAATGTCTCCGCCCCCCACCTGCAATGCCACCGCCTCAGCTTCGGTGGCTCCTCTAATCCTCCTAAAAAATCTCACAATGTAGCATCACAAGATCTCAGCATTTTAACAAACCACCTCCTTAGTTTCTCTACAAACCTGGGCATTCTCTCAGATCTGTAGAAAAGTGCCTGATATGGCCCCATTCTCTGGTTTATTGATCTGCACTGGAAGATTATTAGGGGATGACATTGTGAGGATGCTTCAAACAAACACGAAACACTGTTGTAACTTGGATGTCAAACTGAAGCAAAACTTCTGTGGGGAAGCAACCATATTCTCCTGAAAATGGGGAAATCCTTGCAAGAAAACAGCAGGGAGGGAAGAGTCAACATGGATCAACCTAAGACACAGGGATTCCATCTGCATAAACGAGACTCAAACATCAGTTCAATTATGTTCATATTTGTTCCATATATTAATGTAAGAATGAAACTGTGTCCACTGAGTACATTTGTGCTTTGGTTAAATTAATGTATGTGTGCTTTGAGTGTGTCTGTGTGTATCTATCTAGAAGAAAGATCCTTTTAGGAAGCTAACGTATGAGTTATATTCTTCAGGCCATTGTACTGAAACCATGGATGGGCTTCAAACCAAACAATGAAACAAAATTTGTCACGAATTGTGTCCGATTCCTAGTTTGAGAACTTTTAGGACAGTTTGTGCGGTTCATGGATGGAACATGAAGAAGTGGTTTAACGGGACTCTGAGTCCCTTTAAACCCTGCTTTCTGCTCCCCAGAAAAGCTGTAAAAACAGCTCCCATTCCCCACGGCTCAGCTGTTTTGGCTGACTTGTGCCATCCCTTTAAACTTTAAAAGGACTGCAGAAGACAGCCCAAAAAACAACTGTGTGGTGGGAAGTCATTCACCACCGGGCAGCTCTTTCGGCCTGTCTTGTGCAGTCCCTTTAAACCAGGGGTGTCAAACATACAGCCCATGGGCCAGAACTGGCCTGTCCAGGGGTTTTATCCGGCCCGCGAGCAACTGGTCATTACATTTATTTCCAGATGATAGAGACTGTGCATTATGTCCCTGTATACTGTCCCAGTGCTAATAAGTACTGGGTGCTGGAAGTGGGAGGGCAGGCATGCAGATGACAGCATGAAACAACTGCTTGCTGGGGAGTGCCTGCCCGCCCTGCAGCTGTTTTTCCAGCTGTCTTCTGCAGTCTCTTTAAAGTTTAAAGGGACTGTACAAGACAGCCCAAAACAGCTGGGTGGCACAAGCTGCTCAGCTGTTTTTCATGCTTTCTGCAAACCCCATTTAAAGGGACTGCAGACTCTTTCAATGGAGTTTGCAGGGGCACGAACCCCACAAACCAGTTTTATTAAATTCAGAGGGTTTTCTTCATTATGGTAGGCTTGTGGTACTTCTGGTATTATGAGATGGAAGTAACAAGTTAGGCCTAAATATCTAGCAATTAATATGGAACATACTTCACAGTTTGTTCTTCTGATAATATCGTGTAGTTTGTAATTCTTTATGGGCTTCAGCATTTGACAGATTTTTAGGCATATGTGAATGTAAAGGGTCTGGGGACTTTCACGCTTTTGACTAAAACAGGCCTACAAAAGAGGCTTTCATCTTCATCACCAAAATGAAGGTAGCCCACTGACCAGATGTTGTGACCTGCCAAGGGCACAAGCCCCCGCCCCCACAACATAGGCAACAAAGCCCAGAGGTTTGTGGGGACTCTAATGGGCCAGTATATATAGCTACTGGGTTATATAGTCATAATATGAGTAGTTATGCATTAAAATATCCAGTCTCCGTAAGTGTGCAGTTCTCATATAGGCTTGATGCCATTATATCTGACATAATGTCTGCCACACAGTGTACATGATGTCTCACCAGTGCCAAAGCTTTCTTCTCCACAGAGTGAGCATCGACCAGAATCCATCAGATTTGAGAAGAACCTCCAGCCTGATGGTGTTTCATACACAGGAACTTTCATGGATTTCGCCACCCTAAGAGAGATAACACAGAACACCACAACATCAGGATGGTTCAGTTGTTTCATACATGCTTGTGAATTTATTCTATCAAGAATGGGAAAAGATATGTCTGTCACACAGACAGCAGGAAAAACCAACTGCCACAACCAATGACAACTATATGGCATCACTTAAAGAAGACACGTAGAAGTCTTGAAACTGCCAACTGAAGCCTTCAGAGTGTCCAAAGGACAGATTATTAAATTTGCATCCTGCCTTTCCTCCACTTCCTCAAACAGCACACACAGGTTCCCAAAAGATCTATCCAGGCACTGATCATACCTGCTTGGTACATAATGCAGCAGTCTTGATGAAATATTCAGACCACACCATTATGTAAAGACTATACATTTAAGGGTATAAAGTGGTAGTTTAAAAGTGGTTGATTTATGGTTAGAAAACCAAGTTAAATACTAGTCACAACAGTTACAAATATCCTAAGACTAGCTTGATACCCGTGCTTCACTATAGTATTTAACTTCCGTAAATCCAGTTATAATACTGATGATGTAAAGTTTGAAATGTAACATTTGTTGTAGGAATTCTAATGGAAAAGACTGTAGTGTTAAAAAAAAAAGTGAGACATACGTACTTTTTTTTCTCTACTGAAGGAGCTCTCTGTAGACTGCTGGGGCGCGCTCCCATGTGGCTTTAAGCACCCTGCAACCACTGCTGCACCTGACAGACAACCGCCTGTTAGGTGTAGGAGGTGGGAGGAGTGTGTTGGAAGCCATCAGAAAGGCTGGGCCAGCAGCATTGCTAAGGTGATCTTGCTGGGGTGGCATCCCTGATGGATTAAAGTACCCTGGTCCTGCTCCTACACCTGACAGACACCCGCCTATCTGGTGTTGGGGGGATTTAAAGGCATCAGGGAGGCTGGGCCAGCAGCAGGGCTAAGGTAATCTTGCTGAGCAAACCTCCCCAGCAGCTGTAAGCATCCCACCTCCTCTCCTACACCTGACAGGCAGCTGCCTGTCCAGTGTAGGAGGGGGAGGAGTATTAGAAGCCACTGTGGAGGCAGGGCTGGCAGGATCACTAAGGCATTACTGCTGGGGTGGGCTCTCTCATGGCTTTAAGCACCCTGCAACTGCTGCTGCACCTGACAGATAACTGCCTATCAGGTGTAGGAGGGGGGAGCATGTTTGAAGCCATAGGGAGGCTGGCCAGCAGCTTTGCTTTACCTCACAGGTGGTTGGCCACTCCTGATTTCCTCAACTGTCATTAGCTCTCTGTAGTCCCCTGTAACTGTTTTTTTTTAACCTCAGAAAACTGAGCTCTGCAGCTGACCAATTAGAGAGTGGGGGGTGCAAGGAGGCAGCAGCCTGACAGCCACACAGGAATCAATGGGGGGAGCACGTTTTACCCCTTTTGACCCACTTAGGGGTTGAATTTCTAAAAATCCCTTTTTAGTGAGCATCTACACCATGGTAGGAGCGCTCTCCCCGAATTTGGTGTTTCTAGGTCCGGCGGTCTGGCCTGGGCGTTGTTTTTATGGTGAGCTGACTTTCTTTTATCTAAAAAGCTAAGCCTTTTCACTGAAAAACAATCACATATTTAACCCCCTCCCCCAATGAAATCAATTTAGGAAGGGCCGTGTCCCTGTTTGTGTATTTTCTCTGTCATTGTAACTCCCATTAGGCAAAACTGTTTTACATTAAGAGCTACATGCCATATGAGTGAAGAAGTCCTCAAGAATATGCTAGGAACTGTAGAGGCCTCCATTCCTATTTCCCCCACAAAGCTGAGATTTTTGCTAAATCTAATAAATTAGAGGATTTATTTTTGCTATATGACTAGAGCATGGAATGGATCAAAATAAATTTATTGTTGATTTTTTTCTGGACTATAAGACAACAAGAGAGGCTTTAAAAAAGAACAACTGAGAAAGTATTCAGTGTATCTCTATCTCCCCCAACTTTCTGATTTACCAGGTGTCAGCTGTACATTTTAAAAACTGCTGATGGTGGCATGGGAGAACTGCCTGAAATGTCTGCAATCTGTACACTAGCACTTCACTGACACACAATTCATTCCTAGTGAACTCAAAGTCACACACAATTAGTTAAGTGGCTTGCAAATACAGACTGGATTCTAAAAGATGGACTTAGAAGGTAGCTTGAGCTTAGAATGAACTAAATAAGCATCCACACTATCCTCCCAGAACTTAGGTCTGTTGTGAATGTATGAGTCAACTCGAAGTTAAAACAATACAATAAAAACAAAAATATAAAGTTTACCCTAAAATTCAACACCAAAACGAGCAATACAAGAACATAATGAAAACAACCAATCGTCTACATGACTATTGTAGTAGACCGTGTCATCTACAACAAGAGAAATTATGCATCACATGAATGGTTATACTTTCTCGAAGACCACTACTCTTATTTATTTTTATTAGTACTAACCTTTATGGCTAGACAGAAGATCCTGAATACATGGTTAAGAAGCTTATCTTGACTATAACCATTTTAGATGCATTCTCCTGAAGCTACTGACACATGATATTTCTAGAGAACTATATAATGGGAAGGAAGGAGACTTCATTATCCAACAGATAAATATGTCAACCTATCTTGAACTCTTTACATCACTGGAACAGAGTCCAACGATGAGAATGTCTAATCAGAGAGCACAAACTGGAACAACATGTAGAGCAAGACAATGAGAAAAATCTCAAATGGACAACTGGGAGGCTGGGTATGGAGGTGGGGAAAAGAGGAATTCCTAACAATTGGTAAACTTCAGGACTGGAATAGCACTACAGCCAGGAGAAGTCAGTCACTGGGAAGGCCATCTTGAATATCTACAGTCCAGAGGTGTTAAACTCATTTGTTACGAGGCTTGGATTGGATATAAAGGACACTTTGTCGGGCCGGGCTATGTGTGCCATAAAGTGTAACACGAGGTACTGGAGATATAAACTTTATAAAGATGATTTCAGATGCCAAATGGCAATAGCAGGCGTGATTGGATTAGATGTGATATGCAGAAGGATAGTAGGTGTGGAGATAGCAACACTGGTAGAGACAGGAAACCTAGGTCTCAATTTGGTACAGGAGGATTCAGTCCAGAAGGATGCAAAGAATAAATGGAAATAAGTTTGAAGAAGTGAGCAGTGACTCACGAAAACACACACCCTACCAAAAATTTTGTTAGTCTTTAAGGTGCTACTGGACTCTTACTCTTTCTACTGTTATTAGAAACCACAACATTCAAAAAACAGTGGGGGAATGACAGTGGCGGAACATGTTAACCTTACAGGACATTCGATAGCTGACCTAAGAACAGTAGTTCTCTTACAAAGAAATTTCAAAGGGAGATTAGGAAGAGAGACTGCTGAATTGCAACTGATAATGAAGCTCAAGACAATGCACCTTCCTGGAGTGATTTGAGACCTAGGTTTCTTCTCTCATTACCAATGCCTGCTATTGTCATTTGGTGTCTGAAATCACTCTTCAAGATATAAGGAGAGATGGACTCACATTCTAGCTGTATCTGAAGAAGTGAGCAGTGACTCATGAAAGCTCATGCCCTGCCACAAATTTTGTTAGTAGTTAAGGTGCTACTGGACTCTTGCTCCCATCCACTAAGAAAGAATGCAAGTTGCGCTCTTAGGTTTGCTTCCCTCCCATTTGTTAGAACTGGAAAGGATAATCTCTCCAAGTGTCATGTTACTCTTTCTCTCTCTCTCTCGCTCTTTCCCACCCAGAGAAGGAAGGGTAGGAATCCTTAGCCAATTGACTTGGCTTTCTTTCTCTCCTCTGCAAAGCAGGAAATAGGAGAGACTGGGCAAAAGGAGCTACGATGCAGGAAGCAGGAACAGGAAACAGCAGAGAGCCAGTTGCTTACAGGCTGGATAGAAGCCCTGCAGGGGCCAGATCCGGCCTACTGGCCAGATGTTTTGACAGCACTGATCTAGACAGACACTTCATGCCATAACACTATCTGGGAAGAGTTGACCCTCGCAGATTTCTCAGAGTGACAACAAATATTACCTTCAGTTATATCTGGGTTTGTGTATTTGTGGCTTACATTAACAATGTTGAAATATATACATATGTAGAGACATACCAAACTTCTGTTCAGAAATCCATTCCACCCCTACATCTCCCTTTGTTAAAAAAAAAATCTACAGAATGGGGCAAAGTCTGCAGAAGCCACATTTAGATGCAACAATAGTGAATTACACTTTGCCATACTGCAACCAGCAGGATACGTTAAGCACAGTTTAGATGGAAGACACTTTTTTCTTTTTCAAAGCTCAGCTTTCTGACAAGTTAGTTAGTTCCCATGTCTCTTTCTGTTATAGCCAAATTTAAACAAACAGGCTCTTTTCATGCATGACCACAAATATTTCAGTGCTAAACACTGCAATTTATTTCAGATGTGGAATCACAAAATTAGCTTCAGTATAAGACTTGTATAAGATATGACAGTTAGGCTTTCCTGCTTCTTTCTCAGCATAAATTTATTTCTAAAGTTTATACTGCATATGTACATAAAAGATTCACACACAGGAGTTTGCACCAAGGAAGGGTTAGTTCCAGCTGCTACATACTGAATGGAACATGTTGTTTGATTTACTCGTAGAAGCCTTGTGGAGTTCAATGGGCTATGTGCAATTCAAGCAGTTATCTTTCACAATACAATCTAAATACACTGTTCTTTAATGTCCATATTATAGAGATAATGAAATGAGTCCATTTTCTGTCGTTTTCTTGCTTTGTAACGAAAAATATTGCCAAAATACACCAACAACTGCAACAAGGACAGACTACAAGCTATTAGGAACAACATATCTGACAACACCATGGCCAACCTTACTACCAAGCTCTCCCAGTTTGTTCTCACTCGTAACTACTTCAGATTTGGTGTTTATTCCTTCAGATCAATGGCACAGCCATGGGCACCCACGTGGCTCCGCAATACACCAACATTTTTATGGCTAACCTGGAGCAGTGCTTCCTCAG